ACTTTCCGGCGGCGGACTCAATTTATTTATTATGCAAAAACTGCCAGAAAGTTGACTTTCATCGTCGGAAAATGTCATGCTTACTAAAGTTTTTTGTGCAATCCAAAAGGAGAGGTTGGTTAAAAGCGGCGGCATTTTGACTAATTTATGTGCGAGCACTTCCGACGTTAGTTTAAGCGAACAAAACGGCTTCGGAATGCTTGGCCATTTTGTTTGTGGCAATTTCACTCAATTACCAGCGTTAATTCCGAGCCTTTTTCGCCCACTTCTTTCGCCGGCTCATGGTCCATAAAGCCAAGAAACATTTGGCCAAAGCAGGAGAGCTTCATGGGCCAGAAATACCCTCGCACTCCATCTCCTTCAGGGCTTGTTAATTATTTACATCAAGCATTTTTTGGCCACTTCGGGTCGCCGTTTCCTAGAGGCCGCCATAAATTTCAAACGGCCAGCCCGGCATTTTTTCCACGCTCGTGTTTCATTTGGCTTCTTGTTTGATAAACTCAGGTAATGAAATGGCATTTAGGTAAGACGAGCGGGACACTCCTATTTCTATACGAATTAGTTCGACTAAATTAATTGCCGGAAATAATTAAAAGGTCAAATTGTCTTGAAAAAATTACATTAAATGCTCCAAGATGTTCCTCCCAGAAACGATTCACAGCGAGATTTTTCTTTAATCAAAATCATTTATCAAATATTGGCAGATACAAGCAGGAATCAGTTTTCCGGTCCATAAATTTTTGGCATTGAACAACGAAGTAATAATCGAGAAGTTAGGTTGAACCATTTAAGAAAAGACATCAAAAGTCTTGTTTGGATATTGTAAACATAATAATAAAAGGAATTTATTTATTGGTAAATTAGTTTAAAGCAAAAAAATTGTTGGCGAGAAAGTTTTCTTTAGGCATTTTAAGTAGAACAAAGAAAGTGGTCTTTTGACATTTGTTTGCTAATAACAAGACCACAAAAATAAATGCTTTAATTCACTCTACCATATAAGCCACAACAAGAAAGGAAGTTTAAGAAGATTTTATGCAAATTGCATAAAATATTCAGGAGTTTCAAAATTCTTAAAACTTACCAACTGAAATCAGTACAGATTAGAAACAAGTTAAACGAAACATTGAAGAATATACTTTTAAAAGTGAACCTTAGATAATTCTAAGTCATTTAAGAATCCTAGGATGGACTTCAAAGGATACGTTTTCATAGGCAATGCATCAAAGGGGATTTTAAGGCACTCGACCGTGGCGTTAAACCCCGAGACAAATCTGCTGACCAAGGAAAATCCCACCAACTACAGCTTTTGACAATTGACAGTAACATGGCTCTCAACTCTGCAGAGAAAACGGCAAAGACATATTTTGTGAAAAATTGCCGGCTGGTCGGAAAAGCAATTATATATAAGTCGGGCTTCGGCCAGACGTGGTTTTGGGACAGCTGCTGTCCCGTTGCAATAACTTGACAAAGATTGAATATCCCTAAGTATGTTATTTTCAATTTTCTGCGAAATGCCCGCCGGACTAGAACATTAAGCTGACTTCCACCTGAATTATTTAAGCATGCATTAGGCTCAGGTCTACGTCTACCATTAGATTAATTGCTGTGGCTCCCGCTCCTTCATATAATCGGCTCCGCACAGTCTGAAAATCAGATGGACTCTGATAAGTACCTTTGAGTTTGAGCTTGGACCAGAGATTCGATGGAAAGTGCATTTGACAAATCACTTTCGGTTGAGTGATTTGCGTGGTAGGAAAAGCTAGCAGGTTCCTAAACCAGAGAGGATACGTTTACTTAATTATTAAAAGCTATCAGAGAATTACTAATGAATTTTAACATTTTATAATGCAAAAGAGGAAAATAAAATATACTTTTGCAACCATCTTATTTGAATATCACTAGTTAATACAGCCCACTAGTGAGTAGTTTTCCTGACTTCCGAGAAATGAAGACACCTAATTATGTTCCTAAGTGCACAGATAGTGGGATGCAGTAAGTATCTTAAGATTCCTTCCTTTGAACAATTATTCAACTAATGATTCCCGAAGGAACTTCATGAATTAGTAGCTAATCTGTGGGCACCCGCTCGGAATGCTCTAACTTCGCATTTCAATTTGGCTTGGCGGTATAATAAGCAACTGCTTCTGGCCCCGGCAGATGATACATCCACAAGAGTACATGAGGCAAGCAATGGAGTGTGTGCGCACAATCCCTCATCGCTGTGGTAATCAAGTGGGAAGGATTTTTGCCAGTTATTGCCAACATCACGTAATTACGTTAATGAGCCCCATTAGATGCGCAGCAGGGGCAAAGTGGCGGGGACTGGCAACAGTGACTGCTGAAAGTAACCATCCCAAATCGTCGGCTAAGAGGCAGGCTCCCCTGGCTGCGAAAAGTATTTTAAAGCGCCTGCAATTAGGGCCAACGATGCCTCTCAAAAGGGTTAAAGGCCTTGGCTCCCACTCATATTTCGCATTTCGAGCCAGCTGAATCCGACATCCGACTGCCACGCCGTGATGCAATGATGCAAGGATGCAATGCTGCACGACGACTGCTGCTGTCAGCAACTTGGCTCCAACGAATCAAGTTCACGGCTCTGTGGTTCAGTGATGGCAACTGCTCTTTGCAAAAGTCAGAAATAGCTTATAATTTTTTCAAAACAAAACCCTTTTTCAGCTGAAATTAAAACTCTTAATATAGCTAAAAAAACGAGTAAAAGAAAATAAACTTACGCAAGTTTAAGCTCCAGTGAGTCTCCAGTAGTATATTTAAAATTATATTATTTTTATCTTAATAACTTTATAATCAACTGCATAGATAATTAATCTTTAAGGCTTAGGGGTTACTGCAAATTAATTACAAATTCAGTTTCTAACCAGCTTTCCAGATTGTGTTTATGCTGAGCGAAAAAATGCTTTTATTGCTGAGATAGCAAAGTTTTCTAATATAATGCTTGTGCTTTTATTTTAATAAAAAGTTGAAGAACATTTCGGTTTCCTAAAAGGTAGCCCTACTTGGTCAGAGTACTCCAGAGTGGACATCTCAGCTGCAAGAGGGCTCCGAATGGAAACCGAAGCTGGGGCACTTTGAAGCCATGTCAGTGGCAGGAGCTTCTGCCAGCTGCCAGCTAATTGTAGTAAGATCCATTATGCAAATGGGCGCTGGGAGGGGGGCGTGGCAGGCCAGCTCCCATTCGTGTAACGTTTAAGGGGCAAATGAAGGGGAAGGGGTGTGGTAGAAGGGAAAGCGAAGAATGCATATGCCACTTCCCAAAAAGGCAGAGCTCACAGTTGCCATGGCATTGTGCTTCCCGTTGGGTAACTAACTGGAATTTCCTTTCAGCACCCAACGCCCAGCAACCAACACCCATTGCAGCGAGCTGAATGCGACTTCAAGGTCTCGTCCCTTTGAAGAGCAGTTGCCTCTCGCAAAGTTTTCCAATCAATTTTTCATATGGAAAGTTTGAAGCACCAGCAGGACCGCCAGAAGTTGACAGGCCCACGGTGCGTATACTCAACAGGTGCATATTTGATGACAACAGTTATCAAATTAATACGAAATTTGTCTATACAGGGAATTCAGCCAAAATCGAACGGCAATTAAAGACTCTTTACCGGCAGCTGAGGCCTTCGTTAAAGACATTTCGTATACCTACAAAACGTTCAATGCCATAAAGCAATAAAAGCCAATTGTGTTTACCAAATTGATTGCTGGCAAATAGAAATGTTCCGATATGTAAAATTACAAAAAATATTCATATTTTTATTTCTGGTTTGGTGTTAAGCAAAAGAATAAAATGTTATTAAACTTATGAATATAACCCAAAGAAATTTTACTTGTACCACCCTCGAACCATTATCTGTTAATCAAATAAAAATGTCTAGTTTGACCCTAGGTTTGCCGCCCTTGTTTTATTTCCGTGTATGTTGCATGGTCCTAAGCCTGCAACAGTAGGCCATTCCTTTCCCAGTCGCAGCACGTTTCAATAATGGCCAAAGTTAAGCAATTTCCTTTTTTTCGGACTAACTGCCTTCGATAAAATGTGTTTATGAGTGCCGCAAGCTGGTCCCGCACTGCTGCATTTTATGGTCTGACGGAAGGAGAGATTCTTGCTATTCAAAGGCCAAGTTGCGAATTCGTATTTAATTGAGAGCGGGGAAATTAACAATGGCGGTAATAAAGGCGTAGCCAATTGTAGCTGTCAGAACGGGGCATTAATTACGAAATTGTAAACTTATCGGCGGGCGAGTGGAGAAGCTAAGGGGCAGGCTCATAATTGGGTAAAGGTAAGCCCAGGTAGGCGTCAATTGAGTTAATTAGCGGATTAAAAGGGAAACAACCTTTAAATGGCTTAATAATTCAATAAGCAAAGGGTCGGAAATCAGGTGGGGTGCGATACTTACGGATAATGAGGGGCGTTAAAAGATGATTATCCTCGGCAAACCCAGTCGACTGTACTTTCCCTCTTTTAATTTTAAAGGGAAAGTTGCTGGGAAATATCCGCTGAGCTGTGGCCGCCAACTTAAAGCCAAATAAAATGCCATAAGTCTCGAGTCTTGACCGCAACTAACTTGTCTTTTAGACAACCATTTCCATGGCTTATCAGCGCCAGTGCAATCAGGAGTAATCTTTTATTTTCCACAACTACTTGGAACTAGGGAAAAAGTTGGCAGCCAACATTTCTCATCTTTCACTGAACTCCTGCCACAGTGCCCCCTGCTTGTTCGGCAATAAAGTTTTGTGGCCCATTTCTCATGCTTATTGTTCTGGAATTCTTTCCCTTCTATATATTTGTGTGAACTTTTCCCTGCGGTTGGCCGTATTTTCTGGCTAATGCAAATTAAACTTTGATAAAATATGTTATAAAGGGGAGTTTCTTCAGTCATTTCACTGGCCTTATTAAAAATAATTGAAAAACTCGCATAAATTGTTCTAAAATGATGTTTCGCTTGCAATAAAAGAGACTCAACTGGAATTAATTTAATTTATTGTGTGTTTAGCCTTTGCTTAAATTTAAATACCAATCAGTGAGCTTATTAACCTTTTTTTTAGCTATATAAAAACTTAATTACGCTCTAATAAACCTTTTTGTGGCTCGCAGTTGTTCAATTAAGTAGTTTAAATCACACTTATCCGTATATTTAAATAGGTATAACAAACAACAATTAAACTAGTATTTATGCTTACTTTCAGTAGGCGAAGTGGCAACTTTATAATATATTTAAACGTATAGGCTTGAAGTAATTTCTTTCAATTTAGTAGTTAATTGAATCGTTGTAAAAGCAACAAAGTTATACATTTTCATTGTGTATTCACATTTACTTATTTGTAGGCTTGTGTTCTTGATGTATGTGTTAATTATTAACGAGATTGAAAATATTTGTCGGGGCTCAATTGCAAATACTTCAATCATCATAATTTATGCGTTCGCTGTCCATTTGTCATTTTTCGAGGGGCTTAAGCGATTTCGATTTCGATGTGCAGTTTTCCCAAGAGGGAAAAACTGGTAAACATTTATGCATTGTTGCATTGGATTATTCGGTCAGCTGCAGTGACTGCTCTTAAATTATTTTCAATTAACTCAGTAAACTCCTGAAAAGTGTGTGCATTTCCAAATGAGTTCAAGAAAAATTATAATTTCATTCACAGCCCAAAATCCGATTTATTTAACTATCGCACTTCACTGCAACTTCCACTTGCTTGTCCAATGGTTGCATAAAAACTGGGCTAAGGCTTTACAAATTATTTTGAGACATTAAATTTTCAATTACATCTAGTTGCAATTATTTAACATACGGACATCAATTTGTATAAATATTATGTACAACATCTTGAAATATTCTGCTTAAGTCGTTGCCAAAAATTCGTAGTTTTGAGTCAGCACGTCTACTGCATACTTTATGCGGGTGAATCAACTTGAAAATACATGGGATCAAAATGGAAAAGATGCAAGAGCTACGATTTTTGATTTGATTTATGCGGAAAATCTGCACAGCTGTGTTCAAGATAATAAAAGCGGGGCTGTACTAGCGAAATAAAATAAATAAAGCTCTGCCTAAGAAAATAATGTACCAAAGAATTTAAAATGAATTTACGAACTCGCTTGCAACATTCATTCCCTTGTTTCTCTTTGAAATAAAAATTAAATCTTGTACACGTTAAACGTTTTCAAATAATAAAATGAACCTGAATTTAGCATAACCAATATAGAATACTTTTACTACCGTTTTGATCACAGCTGTATGTGTGAATTTATGCACAGCATTTTTACAACTTCCACTTGAGTGTGAAGAGGGAATAGAGCAAAGTTCAATCGAGCGTATGAGTGATGAGCCAGCGTTTTATTATTATTACTATTCGGTTTTACGATTCGCCACCAAAGTACGCAAGTATCTCGTGCTTAGCTGGGTTATTACACAACTATATTACTTTTTACAAGGACATCTAGGCATGATACACATTAAACTACGTCACAATTCGAGCCTGCTCGGCGGAGTAAAGCTGGTGGTCCGTGGCCCCGCTCACCTTGTCCACGACCACGACGATGGCCTGGAACTGCAGGGCCAGGGGGTCCGCCTCCGGCTCCACAGCTCCGTTCCCGCTCCCCGCCCCGCCCGTCCGGCGACCCCTTCCTCCGGAGGACTCCCTCCGCCGCCGTTTCAGGACACTCAGCAGCCGGCTGAGCAGATTGCGGCGACCTCGGCTCCTCCTGTGCTACAGGTTCGTCACCTGCGTGATGTTGGTGGTCGTGGTCGCCATCACCACCTGCGGCTGCTGGCGTCCTTTTTCCAGGACAGGCGCCACCGCCGAGCGCTCCGCTCGAGCAGCCGCCATTTCGTCCTGCGCCACCGGCAGCCACTTGTCGAGGAATTTGGGACGAAACAGCAGCGTGAACGTGGTCCGGAATTGCTTGCTCATCGAGCAGTACAGAATGAAGTTGATGCTGGAGTTGATCAGGGCCAAAATGTCCATTAGGTCGCCTGGAATCGAGGGGAGTGAGAGGAAGTGATTGATTGAGAGTCATTTAAACTAGATAAAATACTATGCAAGTTATTAATAAAGTTGTTTCGATAAAAGGAAAATAACAAGCGTATATTTAAATAAAAACATTTTAAATAAATTATAGTTTTATTTTTCTTCACTAAAGAAATTATTTGATTCTTCCAGAAATAATAAATTCTTGTTATCAAACAAGCAAGGCTTTTTGTTCGTTTTGTATTCACTCACTCAGTCTTAGGTAGCACTGCAGAAAGAAGGCGTCTCCGAGCAGGGCGTTCAGCAGACCCATGATGCCCTGCGGGAACTCGGTGATCAGGAAGAGCAGCAGGACGGCCAGCAGCATCCTGGTGGTGCGGTCCGTCTGCTTCTCCTTCTCCAGGGTCTTGCTGTTCTTCCTGGGTCGGTCGGCGGCCTTTCCGTTGACCGCCGACTTGGTGCCATTGCTGGCAGCCGGAGCCGAGGGCTTGCTGGTGAGCTTCTTCCGCCGCCGCTTGGCCTCCAGGAGAGCCAGGATGAGGCGGACCGAGAGGATGGTCAGGGCGATGCAGGGTATCAGCTTGATCACCACGCTGTAGATGAGGAACGTGGCGTTCTGCAGTGAGGCGTTGTGCAGCGCCAAGTCGCTGTGGTACAGGCGATAGACCGTGACATTTCGCACCACCGGCGACGGAGTGGGTGGTGCTGGCGTGGTGGTGGTGGTTGTGGAAGTAATCAACGAACTTACGTTCAACCACAGGGTTTCGTTCGGCGCCATGGTGGGAGGCGTGGCATTCAGGGCGGCCGCCCTGGCACCCATCACCTCGTTTCGGTAGTCAATTACATACTGGGTCATCGGGATGGAGTTTATCACCTTGCCATTGGCGTCCAGCTGGTCCACAGACTCGGCAATCGCAGTGATCAGGTAGAGCGAAGGGGACACCACCAGGACACACACCACGTAAGCCGTGGTTATCGTTATTATAGTGGTTCTCATTCCGCACCAGACGCGATTCTTCTGCGGATAGCCCACCGCTATATAGCGCCAAACTGCCAGAGTCACAGTCAGCCAAATCGAAATGGTGTGCAGGACCTGGGCGAAAATCGAGTGGAACTTGATGAAGCACGCCCAGCTGTAGCTGAGCTTCTCCTCCTGGGGCAAGCTATCGGTGAGGATATAGTCGTGGATGGTGTACGGGATGTACTCCAGCATCACCGCCAGATCGGCCACCGCCAGACCCGTGAGGATGGCGTTCGTGGGGGAGCGCATCTCCCTTCGCGTCAGCACAATGATGTTGAGGGTGTTCGCGATGGTGCCCAGGATGCAGACCACCAGCGAGACGTAGCCATGCATGTTTTTGTAGCTTCAGAAATAGAAAGGAATAGGGATATTAAGATGGGTATGCCAATATACTCATATAGCATTCATTCATTAGATGTAAATTCAATTAAAGGTGAAGCATTAAAAGTATTAATTTATTTAGATACAGCTTCAATTTCTCCCCATTTACTTATAGATACTGTCTAGATCTTCAGGCGACACCCCACTAAAGATACTCCTTTCTCAAGAGTAATAGAGCCACAAATCGCAAGCGAGTGACTGAGTGGTGGGTAGCACGCAAATTATGTTTTGGTTATTATGCTCTAGTTAGCCCTAACCAATTTGTTACTTCTGCGAGGAGCCCCCTCCGTTTTAGCCAAGCAGGCAATAAAACCCTGCGAAAGCCATTTCCGTTGGCTTGCCAAACAGAAGCATTTGCAGCAGTTGAGGCAATAAACTCACTAGAGCCCAGGGCCTCAGCCAGCCACGCCCACGCCGCCCCTTTGGGATAAACATTTTACCAGCTTTTGTTTAGTTTTCGTCGAGCACTTTGAGGGCCAAAAAACGTGGCAGAGGGAAGCGCAGGCAAAGGATTCAAATTTCTAGCCAAAGTTTTAGGGAATTTGGCACAGGAAAAACCGAAGCTCTCAACGCTCTCATTTGGTCTTTGCCTTTCGGCATTTCTGGCCTGTTTGCTTTCTGCTTTTGTGCAAGTTGCAGCCAACAAATTAGACTTAGCATAAAATTTATTCAGGGAACTGCGGGGCGAGGCCACTGAAAGGACACTTTAACGCCTGCATCCTGGCGCTCTGCGGTTGACTGGCGGGGAAAAATGTTTAATAAACTCTGTGTGTTCTAAGTGGAGTGACACGTGTGTGTCCTGCTGCTCCTGTCGCTGTCAGGACTTTAGCCAAATTGTTTATTGCTTTCGTGCGAAATTCCCCATTCGCCCGAAACAAAGACGGAGTCCCAACCGAATGACAGTTTTATTGCAGCATGTAAGCCAAATTTGTGGTCAACTTTTTAGTCGTGGTCCCCAAAACTGCAGGTGGTCCTGCGCAATCGAGCCAGATTTCCAATTCCAATATCCAGAGTTGAGGGGTTTTTTCCGGAGAATGCTCCCCAGTTCATATTAATTTGTTTCCCAGCCAAATTTTGTAGCCTGAGCTGTAGCCTGTAACTGAAAAAACTTTCTTACCGGCCATGCAATAAGCTGCAGGGGAATGGAAACTGTCTCTGTTACTTTTGGGAAGCTAGAGAGGAAAAATAATGCCCAACTTGGCATAAAACTTTCCGTTCGAAGGGATTGCCTTGAAAAGCTTACGCTCTCATGGATAACAAAGAATAAAGGGTTTCATATCTACTTCAACAAAAACAAAAATGTAGAGAAACAATTTTTCTTTTTAATTACTTTCGAGTAAGTTGCTTCTGAAAATGCCAACCTGTATGCTTAAATTAAAAATGAGCTCTATTATGGAACAGCGAAGGCAAAAACGCTTTTATAGTTGGTAAACTTAAAATTAAAAATTCTTAGAAACAATACAATAAATTACATTGAAAGCTTAGCTTTTATTATGAATGACATGCGTTTTCCGGTGTACACCCGTTTGTTTTGCCTAGCTTGCTTGCTTTTCGGGGCTCATTTCGACAGCTGACTATGCCTGATTTCTGGCCCAATAACTTTGAGCCGACAACAGCCGCCCCCCGATGCGGTCGTGGCCCAAAACAATTCCAGGACTTCATTCATGTCGTCGCCGTCGTTGTCGTGGCTGCCATTCATCAACATGGATTATCAAAGGCCATAAATTAGACTCAGCGATGGCTGGGAGTCTGGATTTTGACCAAGGTAAAATCCTGCGACAACGAAGCCAACGAAGGAATGCGTTGCAGCCAAAGTTTTCGTGAGTTTGATGAATGGAGTTGTAAATTCCCCAGGAGTTCCGACGACGAGGGTTGTGCCACCGAAAAGTGTCGCCGGCATTCGGAAAGCGTTTCAATTTCGCTGTTTTCGGGGCACGTAGACACACCTCACTTCGATGCTGTTTGGCCTTTTTTTCTGTATGTTATTTTTCTGTATCCTGTCCGTCAGAATGAGAAGCCTTTAACATGAAACGTCAGACGACGTGTGCTTATTTGTTTTATTTGTTTGGGGAATACACGGCCGCAAAAAGCGCCAGCGCATTTGGAAATTAAAAATTTTCCAGAAGCAATTTTACAACATTTTTGGGGTTCTTCGGTTTTTCGGTTATTCGGTTTTTGGGGGCTTTTCTCTCTGGCAACCGGCAGCCAGCCGCCTTTGTGCGTTCTTTATTATTTATGTTAATTGCTTGTTTTGTGCGTGTTTTGTTGCGGTTTTTTCCTCAGCTTTTAGGGCCCCATTTTCGCTTTGCCATTTATATAGTATACGTATTGCGTATACGTCACGTTGCCGCCAGGGGAAGGGTTGTTCGATGTGGCGGTGGCGGTGTGTGACACATTGGCGCTCGACTTGTATTCTTGTACTTTTCGGTGGTGTTGGAGACTTGGGGCTCGATGTTCAGGGGGATTTGGGGTTCCTTTGCCGCTTGAGTGGTGCCTGGAGACGACTGAGTGGGTGGTTTTGGGCGGCAGTGGGTGGCTTTCGGCCATCTTGGGCGGTCTTGTCTGTCTGGGGCGTGATAGCGTCAAGTGTCGCCTTCGCCGGCAATTTGGCACGTCTTTGACACAAAAGTAAATGGCCAAGTGTTTGGCTACACATCTAATTGCCATACAGTCATCTTTCAAACTCCGGCTTCCACCTTTAATTAAGGCGAAGCGGCTCGCATTCTGCGATTCTGTGGAGCGGCCACTTTGTGGCCATTAACACTGGCCAGACTGGCTCTAATTAAAACTAAAAGCCTGGCCAGCAGGCCACTCCGTAGGGTGGGCCGCTTTGCAGCCGTAGAATGAATAATTCGCAGTTGGCAGAGGGCACAACTTTATCACGGCAAATAAATGACCATCAATGATTTATGTGTCGATTGGGTAATATTCTTTATTTATGAAACAAAGAGGAGATAAAGTGGCACAATAAACTGCGGGATATCGGATGGACTTCTGATCAATATTCATAAAAAACTATTTTGCCAACAAAAACCAATAAAACCTGACGATTCTGCCATTGAAACAATTTGTTTGATATTAATCATCGAGAGTGAAAGCCAATAGTTCGCCCTTCCTGTCAAAAATCAGCAACGTCACCTCAATCGAAACCTAATCGGGGTAACTACGGTTGGATGGACTAAATGGCCTATGGGCTCAACTATTTATTATCACTTCCATTTATGAAATTTCAGCGTTATCGGACGGGAATTGAATTTCCTACGCCGCCATAAAGCCTGTAGCACCGTTTTAATCATCAACTTTAGGTTTTACGACCTTCTGGCATGCAAGGAATATAAATACCCGCAGTCCCCGATTCACTTTTTTATGGGTGCAGCAGATGGGCACTTCGCTGGCCTAAAGGAAATGATCAATTAAATTGATTTCGGCCATCAATTGTTGACCTTGCTGTTGACAAATCTGTTTTTATTTCTGCTTCTTCGTTTAATCGCCCGAGAAAATTGTATGGCAAATCAAAACTGAAGCCACCAGCCACCCGCCCTAAATACGGAGGCGATAATCGATTTCTGAGCGATTCCCCATGCTCCGCCTAATGGCGATGTTTTGGGCCCCGATTTCGAATTGTTGTCGCCATGTCTGGGGGAGGGATGGAGGGGAAAAACCCCCCTCGGCCTTGGCCATGACATTGGGAAAAGTCGCTTACCTTGTGTGGAAATTATCCATGCCGCTGCCGCAGTAGAGCGGCGCAGTTTCGTTGTTGCCACTGGCCATTGTTGCAACAGTTGCTGCCGCTGTCGCTGCCGCTGCCGTCTATTGTGATTGCTGGCCGTCACTCTCCGTTGCAACTGGCTCTGCTGCCAAGGACAGCCGGGCGGAGCCTCCGCAGCAGATGCATCAATAATTAATTACTGGCGAGCAGCTCCTGCAAGTGGAGGGCGGAAAGTTAGGGGCTATTGTCCAACATGACGTATAATTAATGTGGATAGTAAACTATTGCGTACACGGCGTTACCCCATCAACTAATGTGATTAAATATTGCATGATGCACAGGCCGCGGTTGTTGTTGTGGCGACTGCCCTAAGCCGATTACTGAATGGCCGGCAAAATATAAATTCACTTCGTGGACTTTCCACTTAACCACTTCGTGCAACGACTGCTGAGGCAGCATCCTCTCAGCATCCCAGCAGCATCATTGCAGCTTAATTAGCAGCGGGGAAAGTGCACTCGAGGCAAGGAAACGCAAAGATCTTGAGATTAAGACTAGCTTGATACCCTCTGAGGATGTTAAAGCCACCAATAGATAATCGGTAGGTTGGTATTTTGGGTAGCCCAGCATATATGATACGAGTGTTGCTTTAAAGACCGAACCTACTGACTTTGTCTAGTCCATAAATAAATTAATTTGGCCAAAGGCTCATGAGGGAAACAGAACGAGATCGGGAGAGAAAAATCTCCGAGTCGAGTACATAAAATATCCGGAGCCATCGTGCGGTCCAAATTAGATTTGTTTGGCCGGAGCGTGGCCAGAGATAAATGCGATTTGTTCGTCCTTTTTAGGGATCCTCTTTGGTCCGCTTTGTCCGCACACATTTCTCTCGGACGTGGGCAATATGTTGTCTGTCCTCCGGAACTCCTCCATATCTCTGCGTGCCTGCTGCAACAATTTCTTTGCGCAAAGATTTTAATTGCATTTGTTAGGCGGCTGCAGTTGGGAGCGGAAAAGCGCCGGGAAAGCGCTGGAAAGCGTTCGGGGGTTGCTGGGGTCGGTGGGGTCGAGGGGGAGGGATGTGGCTGCAATTAACACGTTCCATGAAGCACAGAAACCGCAAAGCCAGCACACAGCTTAAATATGCAGAGACGGCTGCGCAGAAACAGATGCGGGGGAAAGGCGGTAAAATTTGCGAAGTACGAATTGCTAATGTGGAGGAAGCTTAGTAATTTGATTTGCAAATTTCCACTTTGCTTGTGCTCCCTTTTGGATGCTGGTAAATGAACCAAAGGTTAATTTATCCACGCAAATTAAGTGCTCAAGTAGCTAAAATTTAATTTATACAGCCGCCTTTCGGGGAAAATGTAATACTTTGGCCTAGCCACATCAAATGGCGCCGAAATTAATTGATTGATGCTGCGCTCCATTTGAGTGATGTAATTGTTGTTTCCATTATTATGACACAATATAAACGGCGAAGCTGTATTAATTAAAAACGTGCCGGGCTATAATTCGATTACATAAGTTAATTGTCGCTTGATGGGCCGTTTGTGCAAAAACAGAGCACCATGCAATCGCCTCGGTTTATTCGATACATTCTGCCACCGCCCAGCGGAAATAATTTTGTATTAATTGCGAATATATAGTGGCCATATACGGCCGGATGATTGCGCCGTTCATCACGCATGTGTATGTGGTTGTGTGTGCGTCCTGAGGAGGTGACAAATGAAATGATTAATGAGTGACAGCTGCCGGTTGCCCGCAGATGTATGCTATAATTTTTGCAAACAATAGCGAAGAATAATATGCCAATGCCATTTGCGGCTGCCGCACAGACAAAGTCTGGTGGCTCAACAGATTACAAGTAGAGAGTGTGGAGCAAAGGGCCTCAGCGATTTTTCACTGAGATAAAAACTTGGCCCTAGTGCGGCAGTAACATATTATAAATGTTATCTATGAACTAACTAACATATTTATTCTTTAAAGATCTTGCAAAGGTGGTATTAAGAATAATATCGAAAATGTTTAAGCAACATAATTGAAAAGTAAACTCTTAAAACACAAGCTTTAAAAATAAATAGATGTTTCCTGTGATCTGAACTACTCCTTAATAAATATTTCTTTGACTGTAAGTACGACTGCCTTCAAAATTAATTTCGCCCATGAAGAGCAGTCTAATGACAGGCCTGAATAACATTTTCATCTGGACACGGTCCACCGAGCGGGGAAAACAACAATGGGAGCGTAAATAAGGCCACCATCATGTGGGTAAAGGTGAACGAGAAATCGAAATGAAAACTGATTTCCGCATGGCGAGAGGCTTGTTCGTCGGTCCATGGAACTGTGGACCAGTGGGCGTGGTGGCCGCCCCTCGTCCGATAAACCAGTTATGTCACGCCCATATTGCAGGACTCCGTGCTGCTATAGAAATCGCAGGAACGGACAGCAGATATTCTCTGAATGACAACTTATCCCTGGCGAAAGTGGCAGGGGATCCGGAAAGCAGAAAACGGCAAATGGAATTCAAGCTGGGGGAAATCTGCTCTTCGATTCAAGCCAGCATCGAGTGTTGCTATTTACCGCTGCTCAAAATTATATTTACTGCTTATTGATTATTGATTGCTTGTTTTGCTACCCTGTTTACTTTTTCTTCGCCGGCTGTTTGTTCTACGCTCGTTTATTTGCATTTTGTTCCTCTTCACGTCTGCAAACTTGCTATTCGCCTCGTGTTTGCCTTGCTTTTCTGCAGTGGCATTATTTTAAATTGTTTTCTAAACGGTTAGCCGAAAGAAAACAGGAAGTGAAAAGTATCGAACAGGGAACAGGGAACAGGGAAAGTCATTCCCCATCCCGCCCTCCATGTGAAGATGGACAGCTGGAGTTGTGGCTCGAGTTGATCAAATTTGAGATAAGTGCTTTCGCCAGCCAAGTGGAAGGAATGCTTACCCTCTAACAATTTGGCAAAGTAAACCTTAAAGCTGCTGACCAGGAATTTAATGAGGGAAATCTCTTGAGGAATGCCAAAAGAAAACAAAAAGATTAGAATTATAGTGCGTTGGATACTCGTACCATTAGTGCTGGAAACTTTGAGCGAATGCAGCGAGTGTGTCGTCGGCAGGATCTCAAGTGTGTCGGGGAAAGGATAATAGCCAAGGCCACACGGCGAAAAAAAGCAGAAATTATTTATACATTTAATGGAGAGATAGCACCAAGTGCGGCAATAAAGGAGGCAAATGCAAATGCAATAAGATTCTCATAAATAACTAAATTGCATAAGAACTTGAGCTGCCAGAATGAATAAAATTGTCTGTGGTGTTATAAAATGTTATTTCTGCATGGATAATGCAATCTTTTTTATGAATTCTTTAGAGCATTGAAATATTGTTGGGTATTATTAGGAATAACTAAGAACAATGAATGTATATAACAACAAATGTGGTTTTAAATTAAATTTAATATGAAACTTTTTTTTTTAAATACACCAGCACTGAGTGGGTGTGATAAATATTTGTTCTTAATTTAAACAATCTTTTTTTAAAGGGACATCTCAGCTGCTTTCTTGCACTGCAGTCCTAAGTATCTTGGATGCCCCGCCCTCCCCGCTTGGGGCTCTTTCAATTTGCACTTCTGCCGGATGTTGGGGGCAGGACTGGGGTATTCCCCGGCGAACTCTGTAACCCAACCGCTGGAGGGCTGCAGCCGTTTGTCACGACGATGACTTGATGGTGATGCCACTTGCGCTCGCATGGACACAAGTTGCCAGTCATGACAGCCCGAAAGACTGGATGTGTAGCCCAAGGAGGAAGAGGAGGAGGGTGTATCCCAAGGAAAAGGAGGAGGAGGTGATTCTCAACAAACATAAATACCGGTACAATCTTTAAATATTTGTGTCAGGATGCCAGTCAGTCTGACTTCCCTACAAATATCCTGTCAAAGTTTCGCTACTTACGCGTGTTTTTCTTCCACCGCCTGTTCTCGAAAAAGTTTCGCCCGAAAGAATCAGTTTCGTCGATGTAATTAGACGACATGCGAATCCCGTTCCAACGATTTCTGCTACAATCCGACTCGTTACTCATACGCACAGGTGGCCACAGAAACCGCGACCTTGTAATACACACGCTGCGCAGGCATAATTCAAATGTCATCCAGTTGTCATTGTTCGTTTGGCAAATTGCTCGCCTCCGCACGAGAAGATTCCATGGAAGTGGCACAAAAATTCGACTGTGCTCTCGCTTTATTTCGGCTCTGTCGCCTGTTGACTGGAATTTGTGTATCAGGCATACGTCATGTAGTCATGTCTGAGTGAGTAATTCCCCAAGAACAACAAGAGGGGGATTCCGCAAAAAACACAAAAAAGGAGACCAACAAAAAGGTGGGAGACACCGTGGAGCGAGTAAGCTCGGGGCTAATTTCGGCCTCAAAGAGTTTTAAGTATGCAGAGCAGCGACATTCGCAGACGAAATTGAATTCTGTCTGCGGCGAATCAATTGTTCTATAAATGCGCCTTAGACTCGAGTGGGCGGCAGATCATGCGGCTGTACAAATAGACAATGGCCGCATTAAGTATATTAAATGATAAGCCGGCTGGAGCGCCTAAGCCGCTTACAGAGTTAAATTTAAAGCCGGGTATGTGTAATTACTCCCATTGTTTTGACCACCCAAACACACGGGCGAACCTCAAACCGCAAAACAAAACTGAGCTTATCAATGCAATTACACATGAGTTCATAACAGAGTCAATAATTTTGCACAGAAGTTTGGCTTTGCTTTTCAAACGAAGCCCGAAAGAGATTACACAGAGTGCGATGCATATTCGGGTCAAACTGAGACGTGTTGGCTGACAGACCAGCAATTTGTTGCCAAAAACTTTGGCACATGTGCAAACATTTACGGAGTGCAGTGCAAGTAGTTTCACTTTGCAACTCGAAACAATGCCCCTTAATTGAGTGGCAAAAAGTCGAAACTGACGGTGGAAATGTGGAGAATGGGCGTTTGATTGCCGGCAATTCGGTCACCCATTGGGTTTGGTAATTGCCTATCTATTTCATGGCCCTGCCAGCTAAGTAATTAACAAAGTAAACAACATTTCAATAAGCTCAAATCAAGCGTGAAGCACGTGTGCCGCGCAGCAAAAATTACCTGCCTCGAACTTTCTTTTTCTGATGGTATGATGTACAGTTGTGGGCTAGATAATAGCATTTCCAACAAATAAA